AAGTCGGGGGCCTCCCCAATGTGCTCAGTCCGTTGCCCCGCAACGGGAGCTGGGGAGGATGGCCTTGAGGAGGGTGGGTGTACTGATGATGCAACGGAGCTGGGACTGGTAATACACCTGCCAGAGTAGAAATGGAAACATTTGGTTGATGATGATAAGGAGTGTTTAGGGTTCGTGGAGCGCCCATATTGACAGATGCAGGCCGGATTGGCATACGAACCTGGTCTGGGAATAATCCTGTTGAAGTGTGCGGATATGCACCAAAGATATGGGCAGACTTGGGTGGGAGCGGGAGTGTGCCTTTGGTCGACTCCTCCGCCAAGACAGAATCTAGTAGCTGAAGTTGTTTCGTTCGCTTGGCTAGCACATCGACAGAAGAGGCCGCTGGCGGTGACGTGGACGAAAGACTGGCAGACCCGACGCCGGTCTCCGTCATTCCAACACCGGAAGGCTGCAGTTGGCATGGCGGTGAGGATGCAGGAGATGACCGAGCCACGACATTTGGGCGTTGATTTATCGTTTTCTGTGACAAACTGACTCCAGGATGTTCCTTAATAGAAGGTCCCATACGCATGCTTCGGTTGATCGTTCCCGTGGTATGGGGTGTGGTTCCTGGTAGCGGCTCGGCTTTGGTCGGTTTAGAGGTAATTGAAGGCGTGGGCGTCAAAGCTTGTGGAGTCCCCCGTGGCGAATTTTCCTCAGAGTTGTTCAGGCGGGTCATAAGTCGCGACCAGTGACTCCGAGGATCAATATCAACACCCGGCAACAAGGCGTCTGCAGATACGCCCTCCTGCTCTACGTCCAATGTAATGTCCTGGGGATGGGTCGAAAACTCAGGCTTAACTATCAAGGCGTCGTCAGATGTGCGTGGCCCAAGATCCCCATGGATGGAGGGGGTGTGCGGATCGATTGACGAAGACTGAGAACTATACACCTCCCCCTCTCCGAATTGACTTCGGGAAGAAGTCCCTGTCGTTACAGGTGATTCCGCTGCGACCCTCGTCATTGATTCTTCAACGATCAGGCGGTCGTCCGCTTCGCGTAGTGAAACCTGGGGGACCAGAGGCGCTTGTTGCAGATGCTTTGTTGCCTTCCGTTCCTTTCGTAGATCCCGTACAATAGCCTTGAGAGGGCTGCACAGCAGTTAGTGGCTGCCTTTTCTATCATTGAAATGCCTTACCCGATAGCTGGTGTTATTAGATAAAATTTACTGGTGCCGGAAGCATTTTTCTTCCATGTCGGCAAGTCAGCCAGTTTGAACCAGTCAATTTTCTACGTTGAAACTATCAGTCATATATAATGTACGGCCTTCGACAACATACGCTGATTTCCTTGCGAGTTTGCGTCTTGAAAGGGAAATCTTCGGGGACGTCGGGAACAACAAATAGAGTAATTGGTTGTTGTTTGACGTATAATTTGATACAATCGGTCTCTCGTATCTGTCCACTGAGGTTATACCCCGTCTCCTCGGCTACCTGATAACCAGGTAAGTCTGTCTGAAGCATGGCATATGCATTCGCTCACCTCTCGCACTGCACACAACGCTTCATCCTCGTTCTCATTTACTTTTCCTTTCGGAAATCCCCATCCTGCAGACGACTTCCAACCTTTGACCAGAACACACTAGATAGCCCCTAAATGTCAAATAGCACCTGTACGGGGGATGGCGCACCTTGGTCAGAGCCTCGTTCAGCATAATGGCGCCGCAGACTGGCACGCGGGTCTTATAGTTCATGAAGCCGTTGAACGCTGTCTCGTGATCGTGGCTCCAATGGTGCAAAAGTGGACATGAACGGAAGAGAATCTCTGAGAATTTCTTGAGTGGTAACGAAGGTAATGCGGCGTTGTGATCACGAATGAAATCTTCGTAATACCAGTGGCTGTAACATTATTGATATGAAACATGTATGGTAAGTTACAAGGGACTCATGCTCACGCTTGTTCGACTTGGAAGCACACTCGTTCTATCTCCGACAGTTCGCCCTCGGGAAGATTTAAGATAAAGCGACTGCAAGAGATCGTGAATTAGATTAGGCACAGGTGTCTATCTGGAAGCGCACCTAGAGACATCTTCAAGGACTTCATTGAATGTGGCGTTCTCAAAAGAAAATTGGTCAGGCGTGTTGGTGGGCTCGGTGTCAAAAGTAGGACTAGGTCCTGGCATAGGTTGAGACGTGCTCGCCATAGCTTAGAAGAGAAGAGAAGGTGGTGGTGAAGAGGTGCAGGGCTTACATAGACAGGCTTACGTATATGTCACGCTTCGCTTCTTTCAGTGGTCAGTGAAGATCGACCTGCAGCGCCAGCACATTCTTTCGTTAATTACATCAATGTGAGATGCGTCGTGGTATTTCCTGGGACTTTGGTCTTTTCCGTGTATTGCCTGGATAAGTACCTTATCCCCGATTGAGAGTACTTATGGGATGGGTTTATAATAAACCTTAGCGCAGCCGGTAAGCTACTACTTTGCTTGCTGTGTTAACAATCTGAGTCTCGATTAATAGTATCTGCTTGAAGACCTCTTACACATTCTCGCCAAGAAGAACCAGTGATAGTACGCGTTACACGCGCCTCCCTCGCCTGGGAGTGTGGTGAGAATTCTGAGCGCGGCAGCCTAGTATCATTTATCATTGCGACCCGGCATTGTTCTCTATCCTCCCCTTATGTGCGACTAGATCATAGATTGTCGCCGGCCGGCCTAGACTTCAAGCTTCCTTCAAGCTTCAAGCTTCACGTTGTATGCAGACGCTGACCATTAATATTTTAATACCACCCCAGTCACCGCGTTTTAGGGCTTGGTGTTTGTGGTCGGAATACATATCCTGATCCGATATGGTTTGAGACAGGGCTACATAAAGCAAGGTACTAGTTAGTAATCAGATTCCACGATGATCAAGGTGAACGTCCAAATACCCGGGAGTGACATCAAATCTAATCGACCATGTGTCCTACCTCGAAGGTATCGGATTCTGGTCACCCTCCATCCTTGATGACAAGCTTTAGTGCCAATTGGTTGAGTGCTTGCTAGCAATTGCTCTCAAACGTGCTTTGACCATGTGAGGTCAACCCAGAATGCATCCGGGGAGCTATAGTAACAGCGATGCTCGTACTAATATACTAGAATAGTACTAAGTACAGCTAGTACTACTTGTACTTATAAGTTCATTTTGTTTCAGACTCCGTCGCTTTCACTCCTACCACCACAACCCAGTCGCGGTGTGCCTCTGGCGGCTATAATAACATCCTTCTCGACTGTTGATCCCTGCCTCAGAGTCAGTCAGCTCAGCAATCGGTACTCTGCGTTGGCAATTGATACCATAGGCTTGTGACAACGCGAGAACAGGGGGGCAACCGAGTGAAGGGTGCGTCCCTCGCCCTCCCACGCCGCATGCTGACTGACCCACAGGGTGCTACGCGCACACGCACACGCCGCGCATCGCACAACTCGAAGACGGGCGCGAAGACGTGGTGCGGAACAAGGGTGTGCCGCAGTTTTGTGTCTCTCTTTCTGTGTGGTTGGGCTGATGCGGTGTTGGTCAGATTCATATTCGTTTTTTGGTTTTTGTCGCCTCGCTCGAGATGCTCGTCGACGACGCCGCGGCGCGAAGCTCGGGGACCTGTATATCCGCAGCATGTGATTTAGCCCCGGCGGGAAGCTCCTCATGATGGGTGCCGAGGATAAACAGATACGCATGAGTGGCGCGGTGTGTTCGCGAGGGTGGGGGAGCGGGCGGGGTGCGGTGATGGGTGCTGACTTTGCCTCTTTTTTTTCTGCTTTCGCAGGTCTAGCATGTCGCAAAGAAGCCCATCCACACCATGTTCGAGGGGCACCAGGAGGAAATCTATTCGCTTGACTTTTCCGGCGACGGGCGGCTTATCATGTCTGGTCCTGGAATAAGGTGCGGTGCTGCTATGACGCGGACGCTGATGCTGACGTGCGCGCACAGACGACGCATATATGGGATATAGAGACAAGGGGGAGTGGGGACGCTGTCGAGAATGTGTGTGACTGTTTTTTGTATTGGTTTCAAATAATATTATCTCTGTTTATTTTAATATATGTCTGTGGGTTAAATTATCTCATACTGGTTTGGAATACAATTACCTGTTACAAGCAGGTGTGCCTGTAGGTCACTGCGCTCCAAGTAGACTATATGCGCGAGGCCGTTCCTGCAAGGTCGGCATCTGACAATGAGGCTCACTTGTAATATGATTCACTAGGGTATTTACACATCCGAATAGATGATGCACTCAGATACACGATCAATGACGTGCGTATCTAATGTGCACGCATCCTAGGGTTGGTCAGACCTATTTGGAGATCTGCGTACCTCACCTACTCTTTTGCCGAGCACCAACATAAACTGACTAATTTTCAGGTTCTCAGACTACAATTACCAACCCTTAAAACGCGGTGAGTGTAGTAAGAATCGCGTGTATAAATACGGACAAAATTTCAAGAATGCCAGCGAGACCCGGCAGCTTCTTTGTGATATAGGTCAAGGACTCTTCATTCTATCATGATCCAGTATGCTGGCTGACAGAGACTTCAACATTCGCGTGCGACTATCCTTTCATCTTCGGAAGCACCGTGCGATGGAGCTAGATTCAGCCATGCAGGTGGATGTTTCCAACCATCGTAATCAACGGGTTTCTGAGTGCGTTTGGCTGTATGTTTAACTGAGTGTTTGTCCAAAAAATGTGTCCGTTTGGCAGAGTGGAATCTTTCTGGAGTTTTGCAGCCTCAATTTTTGATCCCAACGAAGAGGACAAAAGATAACCACTGCGCAGCAATCCATTGGGGCAGTTCGACGTTGCTACTAGCGCATAGCGTATATGTTGGTGTCAACAACCAGGCCAACATTACTCCACAAGGCACGAGAGAGAAGCAAAATGAGGTGATGGCATCTTTTGCCGGCCAGACAATTAATCCATGTGCTGTCTCGGCGAAAGTTTAGTAATTGGACCGACACTCCGACCGGCAAAAGCCGTAAAAAAGTAACAGGCTACTAGGAGATTTGAACTCCTGATCTTCGCATGCAGCTGTCAAGCGCGCTTGTACAAGTGCGACGCCGTACCCCTTAGCCAAGCAGCCAGTTGCTACACATCTGGCTAGCAGAATTATATCATCTGCCCACGACACTTCTCAGCTCAGCTCGTTACGAAATCTGTGACTTCAACTTTGGACTTGACTTCAATGGTGGTACGAATGACTGTCGTGAGATTGTTCCTTACTCAGTTATGCTCTAGCGACTACTTCTATCGATCAAGGCCGATCTCGAAAACGTTACCAATCTCCTTCCAGAGAACGACGCATTCGAGTTCTTCTTTCAGGTTCATAGAGCACCACTTGTCTACCTTGAAGCTGACTCTTGAGCTCTTGCAAGGTAAAATGCAACAGTTGCCATGAAACGCATCCCAACGTCGTGTCTATGAACCGTCTCGTCAGTACACAAACACCATAACCGACTCCTGTGCTTAAAGCAGCCGTTCCAGGAAGAACGCGATACATCCGGTGGCAAAGGAAACACTGCCCATTTCGTTTGGCGATGCGGCTTCTGCCGACGGGAAAGCAGCGCGAAATTTGACCCTGCGTCACCTGTGCAGGCATACACGGCCGATTCCAGTGGAAAATTTGCCCCTTGTGTAGTGTTGGACTGTCGTGGACTTGAATTCACTGGCTTTGAACCCAGAGTGCATGGTTTTGTCCTGTATGACATGGTGAGTTGAGACTGAAGTTACCGCAGGGGACCTGGAAATGTGAAGGCACCAATTCTGGCATGAAATTCACCGAGGTAAATCTCGAAGGTGAAGGGGAGTGGGTAGATTATGACGAGAAGGTATTCCGCCGCTGTTTCTCACATGCCGCCCTAATCAGGACTTCCAGGCCTCACTACCTGTGTCAGTCATGGCTGTGGAAGGACAATGGTCCCGAGCCTGATCACAACCTCGCTGCAAGTCTGTTACGTTACCATTGGGTATGAAAGTGTCGTGAGTACATCGGAAAGCACCATATTCCCAGGTTTGAACATAGCATTTGAGTTTATTGTATCAATGGGCGTAATTCTCGGGGCACGTTTATTGCATCCTGCAATATCAAACCAAAGACAGTGCCGCATGCAAGCTATATTATTCCAATCTCCCGCTGGCAGCTTGTCTCATGTCGATTCTGCCAATCCTCAATCTAGAATCTCGACTTACGGTTTCGTGTATTGAATATTAGATCCTTGCTTCCCGTTCTTTCTCTCCGTCTTGACTGGGCTTCTCCTTGAGCTGACTATCCGAACTTGACCTGCAAACGTCGCTGCTGCTGGCGTTGCTGCCAGAAACAAGGGTCTGCTCTGCATGTACGCCACTCCGATGCTGCTGTAAAATGCGCCTTGCATTTTCCTTTTGCTTCTGCAGCGGTCTACTTTTCGCTCTTTTGAATTTACGGTGATGATCCAGACTGCGCGGCGGAGAGGCAATGGCCATGAGTTTCTACCACAGGTTCTGGTCCGATCAATACACGTTTACCACTGTAACAGAATGCTCTCAGCTTTGCTCACTTGGATGTTGTGAAGATGCGCGCCGTTTTGACTCACCGTGTCAGCAAACTCTGAAGTGCTTTCTACTTGTCAGTAGAATTCTGCGGTGTGCACTAGGGTAGCTACCGGGATGCAGGTCCTTCGCCTATCATAGTCCCTACAGGGTATGCTACAGAAATAACGTTCACCTGCTGTAATGGCCACCAAAGGGGAGGCTGTTAATGATATTGAAGCACGACCTGTGGAGCCGACTCGTAGGTAAGCAGACACGTTTCGTGACTGATAGTTTGACCGAACACCTGACAAAAATGTTGAAAAAACTGATATTCTAGGTACCGCGGTTGCCTCCGAATTCCAGTTAACGACGGAAGACCAGGCTGAAGCTAGTCTACAGGATTTCGACACAGAAAAACAGTCCCGGGCCAGTCTAAGAAAGTTACGTACAATGTTTGTCCTTCTGTCATATGAAGAATCATCGCGACCGTCCTAGGTAACACACAATCATGTAGATCCAAGCGTTCCTATCGCAGGTAGAATGAGCGCTTGGCAGGTCTACTTACCTACCATCTTGCGCAGTAATCTATCAGCAACTAGTCTTGCAGCTGTGAACCGACTCTAGAGCACCTATGCATGGGAAACATGGGTGTTGCCCCAAGGCAATGATTTGCTTGGTTGACACTGGAGTCGAGTCGCTAAAGCTCTTGCGACCGTGTTGCGCATCTCCCAAGTCTTCCCCTTTCCTGCGGTAATATCGACCAGCGGATTATTGGTGCGCAACGAAGCATGAGCAACCCTGACCAGGTAATTTATGTAAACTTTAATATCTAACAGTGAATACAATGCCAATCACGACGCTGGGACGCGTTGTATATGCTTTGCAGAAAGGTATTTCACAGATAGGTGTTGATTGAGGACTGGACATTCTTATAGGATGCGCTGATCTGAGACGTTCACTCTCAAACAGATCTATAGAGACACACTTCCTCTCGACGTCCACAGGACCTTCCTGAGTGAAGTGGTAAATTCCTCCCCTTTCCATGCTCTAACCTGTATCTGGTTAAGGAGCCTTTCTCATCCCGAGAGCACGATCCACCGAAAGAAAATGTCAGTCGGGTGTTCTGTCTGCCACCTGATGGTAATATTGAACCGTAGCCTCGATGGTTCCCATCTAGGGGCTCCATCCCATGCTGTGGCTCTTGTCGTTGGGTTTCCTGCCACGGACGCGGGGACGCGGTGGACGCGGTACGAATTGAGCGTGCAGAAGCGATCGAGGTCATCAGATTATCTCAGCGAGACGACAGGCTCAACCAAAAGCATTTACCTCCAGCCTTCGCGTAATTTCCACACCCATATGGTGTCCCCTTCGGGGTGACATACGAAAAAATTGGAACGATACAGAGAAGATTAGCATGGCCCCTGCACAAGGATGACACGCTTCTCCAGAGTGGACGATCTTCGGATCGCAATATTTATTTTCTTGCAGTCACCACCAACACATAATAATCTTTTCTTTTATGGATAGACACTTATACAATTGTGATGCTTCAAGATCCCCGTCTGCAATGAATGGAAGAGATTGCTATTTTATTACGAATACATTCGCTAGCGTCCGCTGTGGCCAATGTGCCCGAATCGCTATCCCATTGTTGTTTCCGATCAAAGTCCGCCCTGTAGTCGCCGGCGGCCACGCTGCTATTTGTGACGGTTCTCTCGCTGGCACTCCCACAGCCATGTCTCTCTTTGCTCCAAAGTCGGGCTGTCCAATGTGCAGCATCTCCCGAGCTGCCTCTCTCACACCTTCAAGCACGCCCTCAAGCCCTTTGTTTCCCAATACTCCACGCGCAGTGCAGCCAGAAATACTATGGAAAGACGACAATTTCACAGCATACCTTGAAAAGACAAACCCCGTTTCCAGCAAGGGTCATATTGTCATTTTATTTAAGCAAGTATTTATTATCGGTGTGAGCCATTCTTGGTAACCTTATTGACGTCCAGCTTGCATGTTCCATCTATTTACTCCCTGGTACCATGCTCCTCTTCCTTGAGTTCATTCCTGGGCTGACCAGGTCTATTATAGTCATCAAGCGATCTCCCCCTTCTTGTACAAGTTCACCGACGCGCCCAGCAGCTCCTCCGTCTCCTCCATCCTCCTCAATCCGCACGCTCATCAGACATTTACCGGGATAATTCTCCTGTCACATCCTTTGGCTCTCCGCTTGCACCAGATACTGAAATGCACATTGGTTTCATTACCCCTCCTTTCAGAGACAACAAAATCCCTGTCACCGACCACCTTCATCTCCACGCTTACGTCGGAACCCCAGACCTCGCGGGGTGGTGGAGACGAGCAGCATATTCATCGCTGGCGTGGTACGCAATCGAAGATCTTATAGCTGAAATCCGGTGCGTTAATATTCTCGACTTATCCTTGACCACTGGCAATTCAAATCGAATACGTTAGGGAGTCCACAACGAACAACCGTGTAAAATCGGGCCATGCTAACCGTGCTTTTGCACCCATCGACATGATTCCGCAAGCAGGGGCGCGCTCAGGTATGCCCAATGGTATCGAGACAACTAGCCACGGTGTGGCTGTAGAAGACATCGAGGCTGGGAGTCCCCTCAGCCCTTCCACTTCACATCCTCCACAACGCCCTCCTGCGTTGACCTTTCAACCTGCCTCATGACCTCTCGCTGGGCGCCTCTGGGTGTCCATTGGGCTTTTGCATAGATCCTGTACCACCTGTCTATCTCACTCTCATATCCTTTGCCAGCGCAATTGTTTCAGTATTTACCATCAACACATATTCCCTCACCCGCGTTTGCCAGCTTCTGACTTCCTCTGCAGTGCATCTAATCATTCAGGGTGTATTTTTTTCCTCCCAAGTAGCAGGGTCACCAAAGTGTGGTCAAAACGACTGTATAATTGATAGATGAGAATCCTCGCTGAGCGTACCCTTACATTTTCTATGCATAGTAGGAATTTCCAGAAAGCATTGTGGATAGTGTAGATAATTGCTCCTCGTTGAAGCGTGTAACATCCTCATGCCATGTATCAGTATGGCTTTTCTTGAAATTGGACGCGCATTTTCGAACAGTTGCGGCGATTGGTAGTGGGTCATAAACGTGTTCTGCAAGAATCTGTGTTAGTAACTCTGGTGTCCAACTCTCTACCGTATACGGGAATGCGTCAATAAGGGCGCAAATCCCGAGTATGGCGCCATGGAGCTTCCTTAATGACTCCGCGTAGCCAGGAGTGTGACGAGGCGGAAGTCTCGTGTTCGAAAGGCGAACGAAACGATTCTTTAACATTAGGATTGGATCCCGTGGTGAGGATCTTAAGATCCCCGCCAATGTCCTGGATATTATTAATACGTGAACACCCGGCAATAGAGAATAATGTGGTAATTCACGTTGCAGCCATCTCTCTAACTTCGATTTTCTCATCATCCAGGGAGTTAGAGACGACCTATGCAGCGTCAAGACCTGCAAATAACTGGTGTACATCACGTACTTCAAGGATTTGCGACACTATCTGTTCCTCGGCTAGAATCGTCCCACCTTGGCG